GATGCGAATCTTCGAAACCAATGCACAATTGAAATTAATCGTTTGCTTGCTGAAATAATATTTTTACCCCATCCTGGATAAGCGCAAAGCATAATCTTCAAATCATTTCTCCCTAACGACATTTTGTACAGTGGAACAATAGTAGCACGGTGTGTTTCCGGTAGATATGCTAAAGATTAACCGTTACTTTCTGGGTGATGGGGTACCCGCAGTGTGTCTTGATTGCAACACGCGATCTTAACTGCGGCTGCGGTTTACTTTGAAGTAAACTTCTGACATTTCGATCACCGGGAATGCATCTGAAGTGGAAAACTTCGGCACTGCTCTCTCTTAACATCACACCCTACTATCGGACGTGGAGAGTACTTTAGAACCCGACACTGAGCGTCTACTCTCTGTGTCAAGAGTTGCTGGCTCAGCTCAGTGATCCAGTATTCAAGCCGCGTACCGTAAAACACTACATCTGGTGTTCCATTGTTGGTTAAGGTAATTTGCTTGATGAGTCCAAATTAGAAGGAAACTGGTCTTGGGGTGTCGAGTTGAGAGAGCAGCACGGAAACTGTCGTTTACTTTTGGTTAGTCTTTGGGATGAGTGGTAGAAGCATTCAATCGGAGTAAGGATTTGGATTTAGGGGACCAACTAGACAGTAGTGCACGCAGCGGCCTGAGTTGTTAGGCTACATAGCTCCCATAGTTGGTTTGCATTTAACGGCACTACCGTGGGATTTTTATTTGTATATTTTACTGCGTCGAAGGTAAACCTCATTGGGCCAACAACATGGTTGTTGGTGCTAGCAAACAAACAGTTCGTACATCGAAAAGACTTGTGGGTCGAATCTTCTCACACTTTCACGGGTTTATCACTACCTACACACCATCGGACAACCATAGTATTTTCTTAGGGAGTGCTGTGCTCTCCGCATTTCGGCCAACCTTGAGCATACGGAAATGTCAGTTAAAGCAAAAAGGAATATCTACGGAACTTCATCCTTAAGTACACCACTCATTCGCAAGCCGCTCCTTCCCATCATACCCATTTTCTCCGAATGTTGGCTGTTCCGGTGCAATAACTTCACCACTACTATTTTAATGCCCACCATACGGTAGATGTTTGTAGTGAATAATAGTTTAAATATTTTCGTTCGAGTCAGCCGCCAGTACCATACTACTCGCACTTAAGGCAACACAGCATTACTTACAAATCAAAGTGAGTGGCAAACAAAGACTTGCTAGTATGAACTGAGGCCTCCGACCTCCTTCAATATCGGGGACCGGCTAGAATCTTATCAAGATTTCTTCTCCATTTGGCTATGTCAGTCATGGGATGCTCTTCCAAATTATGTTGTCTCTGTCCTCAACCTAACTGTGTTTAGAAAACGGCTTGACAAAGCATCGTCTTATGCGAATTTCTGTTTATTACTTGTGTTAGCCGGAGGTCACATAAGGTAACCAAACGGTACATTTCTGAAATTTTATCCAGTAGATTTATAATTATTAGGATGTAAAAATTTCGGCTCTTTTACGCCTGCCGCAATGCGAACTTCATGGTCAACCCACCAAAAGTTATTTCCTCATCATATATTCTTTTTATCCTACGCGATGTGTTAAGCATTGGTTTTTCACCTGTACTAGACCATTGTACCATCGACATTACATCACACACAAATAGAATCAGCGGCGTCTTTACTGCCGTCTCCTGTGCACACTACTTGTTTATGGACTCCATGATGCCATGCTAGATGTGTCGCATAATTGATTATGGCGTGCTGCAAGTAAACTGTCTTCTCGATGTAACATTAGCTTCGCGCAGTAACGACCTGTCTGCTACCGTGCTTTGTCGTTTGGGTTTGAGCAACTGCATACTGAGTGGTTCCTCGCACTAGTTAGCTCATACACCAGGTAATCTGCTGTCAGAAGTTCGCCCGAGACAGGGTCCTCATGGTTATATAGTTTCAATTTAGCGGCGTTATACTATTATCGGTACGGTTGATGAGGACACTAAATAGGCCGCTATGGGGCGTGAACTCCGTGCACTGACTCACTAGTGTCATTGCACAAATACGCATGGGGATTGGGCAAAATGTAACCCTATCGCGCCAGAACAAAGCGGTTTTCGCAAAGACTACTGATCCATTGGGTTTTCCCGCTTGGGTTCAGATCCCATCTCCGTAGCCAGTAATACATAGTAACGAATTCAAACAAAGCACGCCCCAGACCGCAGTTAGGCAAGAACAAGGCACAGTACGAAACAAAGTGTATTGGGCGAAGCAGTGCGACACGGCTCACATGACACACGAGTTAAAGCATAAGTGAGGAGCTATCGATTGGTCAATGTGAGTCGAACCAATAAAAATGCCTTGTGGCTGAACTAACTAATCAATATCGTTGACGGATATAACACCGTCCATGTGTAGTATGTGGCTATATTGTGCCAGTTGAACGGAATCTACGATGCTAGCTGTCTTGATTCATCAAATTCTTCTGACCGTCTGTATTACTGTGCTAACCTCACGGACTTCGGAGCTATATAACTGTTGATCCTTTCCTGGGATGTCTATCCGCTTCCCTTCTTTACTATAACACGTGTTGTTTATGTATACCGTCTCCTACTCAATAGCAGTGTATTGCGGCTTTTCACAAGGCTCGGTGCTAGAATGACCGTTATTTCTCGTGGCCATAAACAACCTTGTGGGATTGATCATCACAGAGTTATCTCGACTGGGTTTACATTTGAGTTTAACCCTGTCAAGTGCAAAATAATGAGCATAAACCAGCAAAGCACCTACTAAGATCGACTGGGAAAATATGTCCTGCGACTCTCTTCGCATGAAAGTGAACTTGGGTTGTTGGTGCAGGAGAATCTCGGATACTCAAAATAGACGGATATGACAGTGCATAAAGCCAGCCAACACTTGGACCTACCGCGGAGGACGTTTGGCCGCTTTGATCCAACCTTCATTTCGCAAATGTTCACGGCTTACGTGAGACAACATGTTGAATATGCCATTCAAGTGTAGCAGCGCTGGCAAAAAGCATAACCTCACTGCTCTTGAGAATCCACAACGGTGGGCGACAAAATGTGAATACATTGTTCCACCTGCCTTAACATTTGAGACTAAAGACTCTAGGAGTCTTTAGTGAACAATGTCGTCTCTTGCGAGGTGATCTCAAATCTGTGTATCAGACCCTCATGGACCCTAACCACGCATGCCAACCTTTAGTAAATCTCAGCCACAGCAACTCACAGAGTGGCCACCATATAAAGTTGGCGGCACAGTACAGCCGGTCGGAATGCCGCCGAAAGATTTCCTGATTTCGTGCATTCCAGCCGTGAAACACTTCCACAGTTTATAATTCCTGCTCCTACGTTCTCGGGATTGAAATTTAACTTGTTGATACACTACACTACCTGTATGACATGATGTAACCCAGGTTACAAGGACACGTGACAACGTAACCAAAAATCCGTACACTAAAGTCCACCACCACGCGCTTTTTGTTTCGATACATCCATTGCTGATCTTACTCGTAACCTACGGAAAACTGTGATGTGTGTGATTTTACATCCGAGCTAAATCTATTGTTCTATTTTTCATTGTACTCTGCTTGGGGCATGATGACAGTAGACGACCATATAGTATCGCAAAGAGACCACTAAAATGCCAGTGGCCGAGTGGTCTGCACGCATGGCTTGCAATAATGAGTTCATCAGTTTGAATCTGCGTAGGAATGGGCGTCCTTGCGGTATACACAGCCCACGTGTAACTGGTGGTGGTCGCGCGGAAGCGGAACACCGTTACGGCGTACAGCTGACACATTATATTTGTTTTACTTTGTTAATTACGAGTGATCAACTCTGGACCTGCTTCAGATTGACGGTGTCAAATGTAGACTCTGGAGTTTACGTCCCCGAAGCACCCAGAGTGTCAATCAGGAGTGCACCTTTTACAGCGAATTTCCCGTGAAAGCAGTGTGCAACTGTTCTTACAGGACGATTTCGTTTAATGAGGAAAGGCTATACAAGCAGCGATAAATTCGGTCAAAGCTAAGTTTCCTTTCGCAAATGACCAAAGCTTGCCTGACGTCTTATGTAGAATGCGCAATTTAGGCATAGCATCCTTATCGAAAGCGTAATCTCTCTATTCTTGAGACCTCACAAGGAGGACCATCTGAAAATGTTAAAGCACTGCATCATCACCCTTCCGAAATTAGGTTGCGGACCCCAGAGGTTTTAATTGGACGAAATCGTAGTCTTCCAGGGGATCTGATATCAGCTTCTTGAGGACCTCAAATGCGGATGACTTGGCTGATTTAACCCCTGCCAAAACACCTTACTGAGGTCACTAGTTCAATTTAGACACATTGTAGCCTAAATAAGGATATCAGCAGACGAAGACTGTAGGGTGACATTGTCATTTCGTGCATACTCCTCAACCATGAAACCAGCAATAAAAAGGAATACAAAAACAAGATCACATATTTTCCGATTGGTGCGTTGCACGCTACCGCGGTAGGCTCAATGGCACTATCAGCTGCTTTTGGACACACAGTGGTGGACACTGTCGATGGAGTACAATGGCCTCGAGTAGCTTGAGTATGCCCGAAATGACAAGTCATCTCACAATCTTCGTCTTCTCATTTGCTTATATGGTATTATAAAGGGAAATTCATGTTTCAAATTTCCCATTGTATCCTGTTAAATTACAACGGGAACTTTTTCTCCATTGATGTACACCAGTCGGGGAACTCTCATCCGGTTTATGTCATTTTCGCTAGTACGTTAACCGAATGCGTATATAAACTTGCTGTGGCTAAGCTACTGAAGCGCGTCAATTTTTCGACAAACTATCTTAGCTTTACTCTTTCTCTACGGCACTTTCTGAGTACTTTTGTTTACCCATGCTAAAAGTATTGTCGCATTCTGCTCCCAATGACCTCACACTGTATGGGAAAGACTAGTGGCCTTCATGTTTTTGCAAACACGGATCATGTGAGCTTACCTCAATGAGAACGTGTGTCCTTGTCCCAGAAGCCAAGTTCTTCTGTGACCTCTCATCGTGGTCTGGTTATATTCGATTAGCAATGCTTGCGCTGGTGACCAACATGGCAAGCTGATCACTCCATTCGTCTCCTCCATCCATATCATGTGCAGATGAACCACGGGAGCTATTTCGTTGATATCCCAGGCGGTATCGAGCAACGCGTGGCCGTTCGGCCGCAGAAATTGCTCCAGGCTGTACGGCACTGCTTCGAAAGTGGTAAAATCGTGCGCGTGACCACCCAAGCGCTCCGTATGCAACTTCGGCTTGTCACCTATCTCCACGGTGGCTCTTACGGGTCGCAGAAATCCTGTAATTTTGTCTAGCGTATAATTCTTGTAGCTGCGCACACCGGGTCTAAAAGGAACATCAGCTTCTAACCAGAATTTGTTCCTCGTAGCCTGCGCCACGTTGAAAAGGGCGAATAGGACCAGTAAAGTGTGTTCAATGAATGCCATGGACGCGATGTGGATGAGAGGAGTACTTTCTTTCTGGAACAACAAAACAAATCGGTAGGATGGAAGAGGAGATATAGTGTGGTGCACTACTAACAAGTAGTATGCGAGAAAACGAACAGTCGTAAGGAACTCAGAGCATTTATGGATCGCTGAAAACAGAAAACGCATAGTACCGTACGTTTGAGAAGAGTCATTCGTTTTTGCTCAGTCGCACAGGGGTAGATTGGAGCTCACTAATTTGCCGACCCACCAATGGCATGTAAGTCTACTGTATTTACTCATCCACGCATGTCTGGGGGTGTGAATGCGACGTGCGGACGCATTGCGGTGCATGTGTCCTTGAAATAGGTTAATTACCCTCGTCGATTTTGACACCGGCCAGTTCAGATTGGGTCTATGCCGACGTTTTTGGCTGGTGGTTTGCAACATCTCGACAGCAGTGCATAATGCACTGGCTACCGTGTTCAAATGTTGATGGCGCTTCGACAGTTGCTTAATGTTATCCCAGCAAATGATAAAAGGGTTAGTGACAACGCTGTTGTAGACTGAATGTTACCTTCACATAAACCACCTTAGCAAAATAAGAATTCGTAACAATTAGGCGGTGAAAATATGAGATGCTACTTCTGCATAAATGAGTCCGGAACAATGTCTACCAGCTACTGGAGGCTCATCGGATCTATTTGCAAGTGCGCGGCCGCCTAAGGAGTTAATTCCAGCAGCATACAGAAATAAAAAGAAAGCTGAGTGCAGTGGCTTTTGAACAGATTTTATCAAATCTCATTTTATTCCATCAGCTTGGACAATTAAATCAAAATCAGTTTCGCAATGAACACGATAAGGAATTTTACAGTATTGGTATGGTAAAAGAATCCTAGAAGTAGATAAAGAAGCGTTCAGGTCAAATCTAATCACCCATTTTAGAAAGAAAGGTGCTGGAAGAATCCAGCGCGTACGATGCATTTATTTGATGAAACCAGGCTGTTTACGACTGAATATGCAAGCGTCGTTGGTGTATTAAGCATTTTATTGACTTGACTTGAGTTCCCCGCCTTGGCAGACTTGAATGTTTAAATATTCCTTATCGCCCAGATACGTATCCGGCCAATCTGGAAAACCTTAATATGCCATCCTACTGGAATTTTTGGTATTTTAAGTATCCATGGAAACTGTGTAAATAGATCACTGACGATTCACGCCCAACCGTTTGTTCCACGGTCATGACACATTCAGTAGTTGCGAATGACTTAACAAGCGTAAAAGTATTGCCCATTAGTTAATTTCTGGTGGCCGGTGGGACTCTTTTAACTTCCGATATAATTCCACGGGATGTACAGCTAAGCGGCTAATCGTACTCCCACAACGAAAGAACAACAACAGATCATGGTGACGTGCTGGTATAGATTTGTTTTCCTATTTCGTTAGACTGCTGCTACCGAAAGAAATGCGGATGTTCTACGTGTGCCCTAAACCTCGATCCACCTGAGTGTTGGCGAAATGTGGGTGAGTGAGATTTACTGTTTTATGTGAAGCTGCCGTTTGCACTAGTTGCAAAATACCCAAGACAAAATGAACCGTAATCGCTTTCAGCTCATACGTGCTTTTGACACGTCAAAGAAATTGACCAGGGGTTCAAATTCCCTACAGACCTTGTGAACTGGAAGCAGAGAGTGCGGATATGATATCTGAGATCGGGGCAGCACTACACGTCTGCTGGTGGACTCGCACCAAACCGCAATCAGATCCCTCAGTTTAATGGGGTGTCGTAGGTGAAACTGCAGCAGGGGAACTGCATGAGGGTGTATAACGCATTCTTGAATTGACTTGCATGAGTAACGCACAAGTCGAAATACTCCGCTTCCCATTTCAAGCAAACGACTGTTCCGTGTTGGATGAAGAAATCCGGAAGACGAGGCGCCCGTTAAAAGAAAAATATTCGACACTGATAGCCATATTCTTCAAAGATTTAGTTATATGTTGCATACTTTTAAACCTGTTGAAGTACAGTGCAAATTTGGAAAGCCATATTTTCATGCTGTAAGCTATATTTCCTGGTAGGGGTATAATGAGTTGCTCAGAAGTTAGAAACGTGTACAAGTGTGATATTTTAGAGAGAGCACTAACTACCACCAAATATGATCTATCACGCGCTAGTCTTTAGCAAGCTGCCGCCCAGAGCGTGCTTGTGTTTACATGATCCCATTGCTCACGGTGCATTTGCCTATGATTTCACGAAATTTGTTCCTTGTACAGGATGAAAGTACTAATAAGTCTTGGAACGAAGGCCTGGAATAGCGCGTTTTATTAACTGCGTTATATTTGAGCAATGTGACCTGCAGCCATGCTGCGCGGGTATGAACAGAGCTTTATACTCTGTCAGCTACAGCAGTCATTTTTTCACGAACTTCTCGGTCATTTTGGCTAAAACAGCTTTTAGGATACTCAGCCGGTACTTTCCATCTTGATTCGGTCATCACTCTTCGAAATTGACTTCCCAACCGGGCAGTAGCACTTGCTCAATAGTCCGCTGTCGGTTAGCGACTTCTTGGAAAGGTCTGTTACAGAAGTCAAGATGGGGCAGACAAATAAATGCGAATCGTTAGGTATAGCATGTGAAGCACCGCCAATTACCAATGAATATCTTGCGAGCATCTACTATGCCGTAATTCTTCTGTCAAAAGGGGCAGGGCCTACACAAATCAAACTCTGTACCGCCTCCTAAATATTTGCGAATAAGGAATTGAAGTGCACCACAAGTGCCGACGCATGGTCCCTCCTGGAAGTCAGGGACTGTCCGGCTGAACCCTTTAACATTGCTCCGTCATCTGTACTCCTCAAGTGCAGCGTCACTTAATGAATGATCCTCTTGTGGGTCGTCTTCGTTGTGGCTGGGATTTTTGAACACTGGTGCTGTTGCGTGAAATCAGCCATGATTATGACACCACGTAATCGGCGGCAGAACCCATCGGACTGAATTTATTCCTTAATACACGTCAATGTCTAATCAAATTAAATATACTTGTCGAACCATTTTAGTTTCATTATTGTAACCATCTGATAATCGAGGGGTACGGATCTTGCGTACAATCATTTTCCATACTCCTTTAGGATTGCCTATATTGCTTCGATAGATGAATCTTGCTGTAGTGACCAGTCCACTTGATTTGTAGCTCAGGTAAGTTCATTGAAGCTAGTTTACAGTATTCCTAGGATGACTGCTACGGAATCGAGTGTGACTGCAGCAGCTTTCGCCAAATTAAGGCCACTGGACGTTCACTAGGTATTACTGGATTCATGCCTAACACTGCATGACAAGTTGTTAGCAGCTCGTCAACTTCAAATTCATACATGAGGGATCTGATTGCGGTTTGGTGCGAGTCCACCAGCAGACGTGTAGTGCTGCCCCGATCTCAGATATCATATCCGCACTCTCTGCTTCCAGTTCACAAGGTCTGTAGGGAATTTGAACCCCTGGTCAATTTCTTTGACGTGTCAAAAGCACGTATGAGCTGAAAGCGATTACGGTTCATTTTGTCTTGGGTATTTTGCAACTAGTGCAAACGGCAGCTTCACATAAAACAGTAAATCTCACTCACCCACATTTCGCCAACACTCAGGTGGATCGAGGTTTAGGGCACACGTAGAACATCCGCATTTCTTTCGGTAGCAGCAGTCTAACGAAATAGGAAAACAAATCTATACCAGCACGTCACCATGATCTGTTGTTGTTCTGTCGTTGTGGGAGTACGATTAGCCGCTCAGCTGTACATCCCGTGGAATTATATCGGAAGTTAAAAGAGTCCCAGAGAGTCCCACCGGCCACCAGAAATTAACTAATGGGCAATACTTTTACGCTTGTTAAGTCATTCGCAACTACTGAATGTGTCATGACCGTGGAACAAACGGTTGAGCGTGAATCGTCAGTGATCTATTTACACAGTTTCCATGGATACTTAAAATACCAAAAATTCTAGTAGGATGGCATATTAAGGTTTTCCAGATTGGCCGGATACGTATCTGGGCGATAAGGAATATTTAAACATTCAAGTCTGCCAAGGCGGGGAACTCAAGTCAAGTCAATAAAATGCTTAATACACCAACAACGCTTGAATATCCAGCCGTAAACAGCCTGGTTTCATCAAATAAATGCATCGTACGCGCTGGATTCTTCCATCACCTTTCTTTCTAAAATGGGTGATTAGATTTGACCTAAACGCTTCTTTATCTACTTCTAGGATTATTTTACCATACCAATACTGTAAAATTCCTTCTCGTGTTCATTGCGAAACTGATTTTGATTTAATTGTCCAAGCTGATGGAATAAAATGAGATTTGATAAAATCTGTTCAAAAGCCACTGCACTCAGCTTTCTTTTTATTTCTGTATGCTGCTGGAATTAACTCCTTAGGCGGCCGCGCACTTGCAAATAGATCCGATGAGCCTCCAGTAGCTGGTAGACATTGTTCCGGACTCATTTATGCAGAAGTAGCATCTCATATTTTCACCGCCTAATTGTTACGAATTCTTATTTTGCTAAGGTGGTTTATGTGAAGGTAACATTCAGTCTACAACAGCGTTGTCACTAACCCTTTTATCATTTGCTGGGATAACAGTAAGCAACTGTCGAAGCGCCATCAACATTTGAACACGGTAGCCAGTGCATTATGCACTGCTGTCGAGATGTTGCAAACCACCAGCCAAAAACGTCGGCATAGACCCAATCTGAACTGGCCGGTGTCAAAATCGACGAGGGTAATTAACCTATTTCAAGGACACATGCACCGCAATGCGTCCGCACGTCGCATTCACACCCCCAGACATGCGTGGATGAGTAAATACAGTAGACTTACATGCCATTGGTGGGTCGGCAAATTAGTGAGCTCCAATCTACCCCTGTGCGACTGAGCAAAAACGAATGACTCTTCTCAAACGTACGGTACACAAATCAGCCAATAAGGATACATTGTGGATGAATGTGCCATAGGGAATACAGAGTCGAAACGCCTCACGACCCGACTGTTCTTTTTGTTAGC